AGGCGTTGAAGTCTTCCGGGCTGTCTTCACAGATCTTATAAAGCCTTTCGAACTCTGACGGTGGGGTTGGTTCTGTTGGAACAGGGATTTCCTGTGAACTTTCTCGGGCTGGTTCTTCCAGCTCCATGCCATCCTCCATCTGTGTGGCTTCAGTACCCTCTACAAAAGATTTGTAGAAACATTTTAAAAAGCAGAAGGAATATTCAGTTTCAAAGTGTACCATCATTTTCATTTTAGATCTCAGGCTTACTGCCTTACTGAATACCTAAGGATGCTAAACTTAGATTAGCTATTATTAGTTACCTTGACTTCCATCTGGCACAAAAGCCTCTGGCTGAGGCTCAGTAGCAAATTGCAGCGGTTGGTCTGGATCTGTAGGTGGTGGCAGAGGGGGCGGCGGAGGCGGAGGAGGATGCTCTTCTTGGAAAAGTGACGCGTTGGCAAGCTGAAACTGCTCCACAGCCTTCTCCACGGATCCCAGCTCGGAGAAGTTTGTTTGTTGGCTTTGCTGCTGCTCTTGTGCCAGATCGTCCTGAGAGGAATCGGAGCCCTCCGGCGCTACGCTGGCGGCTGGTTGTGGAGGAACTTGCTCCAAGGACCAATCTGCTGGCTGAGCAGGAAGGTCAGGAAGAAATGCGTTCCCATTACTCTCCATGGCTGTGGACTCAGTGTCCAGCATTCCAGTAAAAGTGGCACTTTTAGAATCACAGACCTGTTGGGGGGGAGGAGTGGGGGCAGAAAAAAATATTGGTTATTTTATGAGTAGCAAAAACATATGACCTACCCTTTATTTTACAAAAAAATAATTCCATTTTTTCTTTATTAAATACTATTTGCATAAAATTAGAGGATAGGGTCTCAATAGAAAATAATTAGATAGTCTTAATTATTGAACAAGAAAAGCAGTTTGAAGCAACCAAAGCATCTTTTGCTGCTCAGTCTTTCTACCAGGTGAACAAAAAACCTAAACTGAATTTCAGCACCCATTCATTACATCTGAAGCAACATTAAGCTTCAATTTAGCTAAACATTTACATTAAGATGGGAGGATTATTTATAAATGACTGGTCGCCGAAAATAAACCGTATGCAGACAGTTGACAGAAGCGCCAGCTGGTGGTGCAACAAGATACTTCCTTGTCCTAAATTCAATTTCGATACAGGGTTCAAGCTGACCTACTGAACATAATAGCTGATATGTTAGTTTCATAACATGTCCAATAAAAAAAATAAATTAAACTTCAAGTTTAAAAAAAAAGATACAAGAGTTACGACTGACAAGGTTTGCTGGAAAGAGGCGATGTCTCATCCGGGTGATCGCTTGCTCAAAGTTCAGCGATAAATTGGGCCTGTAAGCCTGTCGACCTGACGCGAATGTTAAGCTAGCTAGCTAGGGATAGCATAGAGACATTTTTTCCGATTGTTTTGTTTTCATAATTGCTTTCTTACCTAATCAAACAGCCTCTCTAGTAATTTGTCTGAAATACCGAGATAACGACGCAACTATTACTAAAAATCTTCCTTTTTGGTTTCGTCCCCAGTTGGTACAACACACCAGTCTGGCTAGCCGGTTATCGTCTCCCCCAGCGTGGCTAGCATTAGCACAATGTCTAATTATAGTCAATAATTGCAAAGTAGAACGAATGTCGTGGTTGAAAATCTCACCTTCAGCTCCCAAGTCACTGAAGTCAATCCTCTCAAACGGTAATTATTCTCAAAAGTTACAACCGAACAACCGACAGGCGCGCGTCATCCACCATACCTATCAACTTGGGGGGAAGAACAGATCCAGAATGCGCATGCCTGCTCAGAACACCATGGAGACACGCTGAACGGGGTTACCGAGGGAAAGCGCAGGGGTAAGGGTTTTTTCAACAAACTTTATTTACACTAAAAAATTTTTACAATAACATTAAAATGGAAATACGTGTATTTTATTAAAACGAACAAACAAGTAATTAAATATATAAAAAATAAGAGAGGAAAACAATCCCACACTAACTGCTGGAGCTACATAGACGCTGGTTGGTTAATATCATCTGCCATATTCGTTGGCAGGAAACCTGTGCTTGTTATTCTGAGTTATTTTTATTTCTTATTCCTGCTATTACGAATTTGGGAAAACCTTAGCAACTCTCTGAACTGCTACTGAACAACCTCCCTGAAGAACCCAACCATTAGTTCACAACAAGAAAGCAATATTAGCAACTGAATAAGTAAATGTGTGTAAATGAATCACATTCAGTGATGTGATTTATTCATTTGGAGAGAACTTGCGATAATGTGTGCATGTTGAAAAAAAATAAATGTACAGTGTATAAAATATACAATATAATATACATATTATGTAAAGGATAAACAGAATATATACACCTTGATTTACAGTTTTTACTTAAAAAAATTACTTCAGACACTTTACACATATCTATAATTTTTTTTGACCTGTCTTGACATTCCTGAGTACCGTTTTACTATGCATGACCATTCAGAGCATAAAAACAAAAACTGCACTAATACTAGCCTGTTCAGTAACAAAACATCATACATGGAAACAATCTTTTCACTCCCTCTATGCTGACTCGCATGTAATATTTTAAATATCAAGGATTAAACATTTTATTTGGCATCAGTGCAAATTTGCCTTTAAAAACTGAAAAATATATATTTTCCTGAGTATTGATCAAATGAAACAATGATTATGTAAATTAAACGTAGAAACATGCAGCTTCAGAGATCATCTCATTAAACCATGCTATATTGCAGTGCTTCTCAATTATTTTCCGTTACGCCCCCCCTAGCAAGAAGAAAACTATTCGCGCCCCCCACTCCCCACCGTGATTATCCATCTCTGCATAACATTTTTTCCTTATTAACATTTTTTCGCTGAAAAACTCTAGCGGCTTATTGGCGTGATTGGGATGTAACATATTTAAGTGACGCGCTAATTTATTTGGCTTCATGCTGTCCGCTGCGAGCATTTTTTAGACACAGCAAACACACCGGTCTGTAGTCACAGTGAAGCCAAGCGCTAAATACGCTTCGTCGTATTTCCTCTTCTTAGCTTTCGGTTGACTTTCTGTTGTCTCATTATCTTTGTCTCTCTCCGCTTTTCTTTCATCCCTGTGAAAAACTTTTTCATGTTGGGGGTTGTTGAATAACGGAGGGGCCACAGAACGCAGTCGGAGCTTTTGTTGACTTAACACTGCTAACCAAGCAAACCTGTTGTCTTGTAAGTCGTAAAATGTTGCACTGTCGCAAACGTGACAGAAGTAACAATGAGAGCGCCACTGCCGCCTACTGTGCGCAATTACACTTTATACTAGTTCGGCCAAAAAAAAGCCTGTTCCCCAGGATCACACGCCCCCCCAGGTATCGCACCGCGCCGCCCAAAGGGGGCCCGCCCCACTATTTGAGAAGCACTGCTATATTGTAATGTTTTGTTTCATTTGTTGTTTGTTGCATTCTTTTGTTTTTAATGAACACCCCATTAAAAACACTGGTCCCACTCTTGTGCCTCTGGAACCACCACTTATGGCAAACTACAGTAACATAAAATAGCTTTTGTCATAGGACAACCCAAAAAAATGTTCATGCAGCTATTTGGTGTGAGTGCTCAGACACCATTTCTTTAGTAACAAATCCAGAAATTAAATTTTGAAAAATCATAGTTAAGTCCGAGATTGTAATTTCATATGTGACCTGTCAAAATGACACATTTGGTGACGTCATTTGACCGTCAAAATGTAGCACAATTTAAATGAAGATGTCTTAAAATACCATTCAGTATTGTGAAAATGTTGTGCCCATTCTTATAGCTGGTTAATTAGAAATAGTCTTGACAACACCGATTTTATGTTAAAACGGCCTGCCATACACCCACTGGCATTTTGACAGAACAGCAGCGCTGTAGTTTCCCTCGCTCTCCCCCCGCCCATTTCATGGACAGCCTTCCACGTCACGCTCTACTCAAACGGAAACCGTTTGAATGACTGGTCGGACATGTTGGAAAGAACCGCTTGTAAAACCCATCTTGAAATCCTTGTGCAACATAAACTATTTTAGTAGTTTTACAAAAAAGGTAGATGTCACACTGGAGGTGATAGTGTCTGATAGGAGCCTTCTAATGGCGGCAACACGAGCTAATGGGCCGACTTACTACTGAGCTGCTGCTTCTTTTTTTTTTTTTTTTTTTCTTGCGCGCATGCGAAATGGCTACGGCTTCTTTATGGGTAATCGGAAATATTTATTTCCCATGTCCACATGGCTGTGCGTACTGTACAGTAGATAAAGAGTAATAAATAATAAATTATTGATCATGTTAAAGAATTAACACATTCCGAAATATTGTTTTAGTCTAGGTTTTTAATTTGATTCTAAGATAATTATGCATTGAATTGAATTAGCCTATGGCTTCAGGGTCTATTGATCCTGCTCAAATAAATGTGATATTATGAATACAAGAGAAAATAAAAATAGCATATGGAGTTCTGTAAAATCAATAAGGTCCCATAAGTAAATATCCATGCTTACTACTTTTTTAAAGGTCACCACTGTAAATGTCATTGATAATTTCAAATTGAATTTATTTTACTGTTGAAGTTATTGACCACTTTATAGGTTGACAAAGGATATGCTTACCTGTATTTAGTTTGTTACATGTTATTTTATGTCAATTAAATTAAATATTCACACCTTTATAACTCAAAATGTGTTCAAATTAGCTAGGGTCTGATTTTTATTATTTACACTGCTTATCAAATATAGTAGAACACAGCAAAGCTAGTGAAATTGCTTTGGATGCGCCACTATGTTCCTTGTCTGACTAGTTAGTTAGTTAGTTAGTTAGTTAGTTAGTTAGTTAGTTAGTTAGTTAGTTAGTTAGTTAGTTAGTTAGTTAGTTAGTTAGTTAGTTAGTTAGTTAGTTAGTTAGTTAGTTAAAGGCCATGCTAATAGTCTTAGCATTACTTCTTTTCAATTTCAGATGACGGAGCTTTATTCGTGGTCCTGAACGCAGCGCTCCTCTGTGCGTGTGTGTGAGTGTGTGTGTGAGTGCGCGCTGCAGAGGAAGTGGCGGCTGATCTCGGTCCGCACCTTTCCGGTAACAGCCCCGCCACCGCTGTGCCTGACTGAACGGCTGGAGACACGGAGGGAGGAAGACGAATCGAGAGCGGCAAGAGTGGGGGAGAAACGGCCCGGGGGACTGGGGAATGGTCGCCGCAGACGCAGGTATTCATCCCGCCCTTGCAGTGTCTGTCTTCGTCTGTTTTCCGTTGAGCCTTTAGGTTTCGGCAGAGGGAGTTTTCTCCTTTTTTGTCGGATTCAAAGTTGCCCTCTGTACTAACACCCCTCCCTTCTTCGGACCGCTCCTATGTCACAGGGGGAAGGAAGAGAAGAAAGTCGGATGAATCAATGACCTTTTGAGCGGTTCCTCCTGTGGATACCCCGGTACCGAAGCGGACTCGGAAGGCTTCGAATCGTCGCCGCCGGTTTGCGAAGAAAATCGGCGTGCTTCGAAATCCGCCGAGAGAGGAGGGGGGGAACAAGCTAAGTGCGGACAGCCGGCCGCCAAGAAGGAAGTGGGATCCCCCGGCTTGGCCTGGGCCTGATTTATATTGTCCTCTTTAGGTTGAAAGAACTCCTCCAGCCGGACTCTGCTCGGCCACCTGGGAGGGGAAAAAAAAGGACCTTGCAAACCGAGTCGACCAAGACTTGTGTTGGTTTTGGGAGGGAGCGTGTGGTCTAAGCTGACTTTGAGAGAAGGGAATGTCATTTTTCTTCTCACATTGGAGGGCAGTGGATCATAAAAATATATCCCCACCCAAATCTACAAATGCACCCCATGAAGTCCCTCTGACTCCTCAGGCCAGATTACCTCAATCCAGCTAATTGTACTGTAACGCTGCTGCCAGCTCTCAGATTTTTTTTTTTTTTTTGACACTGGTGTCAACCCACTGTTGTCACGTGTGCAGCTTCACGTTGAACCCGGCCTTCTCTGTTGATCCCGAAAACAAGCATTGGCTCTAGTTAGGAGTTTCCCTTCTTCTTCTTCTAACAAAGTATTTATGCACAGTAAACAAGATGGGGAAGATGCTGTCAAAGATCTTTGGCAACAAGGAGATGAGAATATTGATGCTTGGACTTGACGCTGCCGGGAAAACCACCATCCTGTACAAGCTGAAACTGGGACAGTCGGTCACCACCATCCCCACGGTGGGCTTCAACGTGGAGACCGTCACCTACAAGAACGTCAAGTTCAACGTGTGGGACGTGGGCGGCCAGGACAAGATCCGGCCCCTCTGGAGACATTACTACACGGGCACGCAGGGCCTGATCTTTGTGGTGGACTGCGCCGACAGGGACCGGATCGACGAGGCCAGGCAGGAGCTCCACCGGATCATCAACGACCGGGAGATGAGGGACGCCATCATCCTGATCTTCGCCAACAAGCAGGACCTGCCGGACGCCATGAAGCCCCACGAGATCCAGGAGAAGCTGGGCCTGACCCGGATCCGGGATAGGAATTGGTACGTTCAGCCCTCGTGCGCGACGACAGGGGATGGACTATACGAGGGCCTGACCTGGCTTACCTCAAATTACAAATCCTAATGTTTCCTCCCACCCACCCACCAGCTTGGACGTTTCGAGACACACATACACACACACACATGCACACACACACACACACAGAAAAGTAGCAGAGAATTAAAAAAAAACAAGGATGCAATTTGAAGCAATTAATTAAATTCAGTGATCTCTTTGCTTAATGTGTATTAAAGAGAGTCATGATTTACTTATTGGTTTATTTTTCTTTATGACATTTCACTTTAATCCCAAATTTTCAGTTAAGCCAACAAAAAAAAAGAAAGTGTTTTTCTTCTGTTTTAGTTTTCTTTAGTTCTCGATCTGTGTAATCAGTTCTGTTAATCTACACATCTTACTTTTGTGCTTTTTACTGCATTTTGCTTTCGTTTCCCCATTATTGTAACGTTTCTTTTGAAGGGGGGGGGGGCGCACCTGAGTGGTGCCGCTCCCCTCTCCAACCCCCTCACACTTAGTTCTCGTCCTGCTCTCTCGCAACCCAGCTACATATCCAAAGGATGGGGGGGGAAAAGCCCAGAAACCGTTTCCTAGATCAGCATATCACTTTTGAAGACTCTGGGGAGGGAAAAAAAACCCACCTCTGTTTTCTGTCAGAATGTGCTCTATGGGTGTGTTATTAGGACCTTTTAAAAAGTTCAACTGATTGTACTGGGATGAATGAGATCTGTGCAGTGGTTCCATCCATGATAATGTCTAACGTGGACGCTGGATATTCACACTGTGATATGGATATATACATTTATATTTTTAAGTTTTTTTTCAGGGGGGGGGTGTTGTTTCAGGGTCACAATCTGTTACCGACTAGTCTCGTTTCTCTCAGAGCTTCCATTGAGTGTTTTTGTAGTTTTCAGCTGCCTTAGTCCGGACCAGGGTTGCAGGTGTCGACCTCCCCACCCCTCCACATCCTCCAATCCTCCCCGAAACTGAGACAGTCGCAACAGCGAAGGGTATTCTCAGCCTCTTGAGTTTGCACTTTGAATGGGAGAAGGGAGGGGAGGGGGGTTGAGCAACTTGCTGGTAGTGCATACTTTTTTTTTTTTTGGATTTTTCTTGAACTGACTTTTGGACTCCAGCGAGGTTTACAAAGTTCCCAACTCCCCCACCACCCCGCCGCCTCCAAAACAGGTGCTTCTTTATTATTTTTTTCAAAATTTTTGGGTTGTTCTTTTTTTTGTTGTTGTTTTAAAGATCACCAGCCCGTTTTACGCCCTGCAGTCGATTCTGTTAAAAGTTTAAAACCATATTGCTGTTTAATTCTCTCTCTTTCTCTCTCTCTCCCCCCAGTACCTTTTTTTGTTTGTTTTTGTTTTTCTTATGCTATGCTGTTGAAATAATAAAAGAAATATATATCCAGATCAATATGGAAGTGGTTGCTTTTTCAATGACTTTTGCATTACAAAAAAAAAAGAAGAAAAAAAACAAAAAGAAGTAATATTTGCCTTCTGAAAACTGTTGAGCTCATAAAAGAGGAAATGAGAGCTCAGGGCGTTGAAAGAAGGACAAGCCGAAGAAGAAGTGAGCCTCGGCTCGTTTCCTTTCTGCTCCGGTGAGTCATTGGTTGTGAATAAATAATGAGGGCTCTGGTTTCCGAGTAGTGATTGCGAGGTGACGCGTCAAGAAGGTCCCCGAGTGTCCAGCAGAGTCCAGGCCGGACTCTCGCAGCGGTTCTCGTGTTTTCTTTTCTGCAGACTTCATCACTGAGAGAGAGGGCGCCAAAAAAGACGCACGCACAGCCGAGAGGAAATCACATGATGATGATGATGAAGTTTATTCTTCGCCTCTGAGCAAAGCGCAGATCTGAAGTCGGGCTATACTGTTTCCAGAGCCATTCAGTCTCTTGTCTGCCTGCTCAACACTTGATATCGCCGCTTGGAGCGTCATGTGCGTTCAAAACCAAGGAGCGGAGTGGCTCGTGAAAAAGCCGGTCTTAAGAAATGAGGGCATGGAGTGAAAGCCAGACAAGTTTTTGTTTTTGTTTATTTTTGTGAACAAAGCTGATTGTTGGCGCTGAGATCTGAGAGTCACCACAGGTCACAGGTGGAATCCTATAAAGAGTTTTTTTTTGGTTGTTTGTTTTCCTTTATGTGACTCCATCCAGTTAAAAAAAAAAAAAACTTCCAAAGAGTCAAAAAAAAAATAGTCCATGGATTCCTGTTCAGGAATGCTCGCTTTGTGTCTGTCTCTGTGGCTCTGTTTGCTTTTGTTGTATTTGCTCTGCAGCTGTCGATGTGAAGCCTGACCCAGAGCAAAGCGCCGCTCCGCGTGGGTCCCTGCGGCCTGCAGGACGGAGCTCGTCCCCCAGAGACAGTCCCACAGGGGAGACCTGGGGGCCCCGCAACGTCCCTCGAAACCGCCGCCGCTTCTTCTCCAGCGTTTTGTTTTTGTTGTTTAAAGTGGGATCAACAGACACAAGCATTTTCCTCTCCTTTTTGTTTTGTTTTGGTTTGTGGATGTGGAAAGTTTGACCAAAAACGTGGCTCAGAAGGGGGAACCTGTGAGAGGAAACGTGTAAAAGGGAGAGGAGTTTGAAACTACTCCTGATGTGACGTCAGCGCCCTGAGGGCCCGGTGAATCATGCTGCCTGTGTCACAGGCCTTTTGTACGGCTGTCAGTGAGCTCACCTGTGGCCCCTCGGTTTGAACAATATAATTAAATGGACATTTTCTACTGTTTTTCTACTGTTTGTTTGTGTTCTTCTCCCCTGGGCGGCTGGGCCTAGCTGCTTCATCGTTCGCCCTTGACGGTCGACTTCAAACAAAGCTCGAAAGCCAAGCCTACTGCTAGTTCCCTTGTCAACTGTTTACTCAGGCGTTCCTCTTTTATTTTAATCTCCCTCCAGTTCTTCGTTCGGCTCAGCGGAAAGCCACCAATTAAGCCTTGCAAGTCGACACAAAAAAGGGCTGACGGCGAAGTGAAAACGGCACGCGGACGTCGACGACCCGAGTGGGAGACACGAGGATGCGGAGGCCAAAAACGAGCAGGCGAGCTTGTTGTCGCAGGCCTGGTCTGTGTCAGATAGTTGCTTTGGTTTAAATATGCAGCCGCATTCCTACTGATGCGAAGATGTTACAGTTATCTATGCATGGGTGAATTGAAAACTTAAAATATACCCTTCGTCCAATTCTACTACTTAAAAAAATATCTCTTTTTGCCGTTCTGGCCCTTGCATCACAACTATTTGCCTACAGGCTGCAGTACACTCAATGGTTGTTTGCTTTACAAGATGTACAGCGTGTAACTCGTCCACTGCGGTATGAAAACAGAGCGACCCGTTAAGAGTGAGGTCAGATACTAATTTTGCTTTGACATCGTGACTGTCTGTCGGTTTTTTTGTGACGGAAAACATCTTCGAAATGCATCACTTGGCTTCCTTTGAAGTTTGGGGAAAAGTGCGGCCTGCTTTGCAGCAGTGCGTAGCAACAGGTGGGGGACGGGGGAGTGTTATGCATGTCACTGAGGAGTTTGGGCAAAAGAAAAATCCAGCACATTTTAACGCACCTCGTCAAATAGACTTAAACCAAACTATTATTTTTATGACTTTCGATATAGCGCTCTGCTTGATATGTTTATATATCAATATATATGTCTATATATACACTGTAACAAATTGCTGTAAAAAAAACGGCCAAAACTGAACAGTATCATGCTGTTTCTATTGAAAACGGTACTGCACCGTGAAAAACAATGCATTCTCGGCAATTATTACTGTTTTTAACCCTTTAACTACCACACCAAGAAAAAAACCTGTGAAAAAAATTTTCTTTGCATTTCTTTTACCCTTGGGTGACTCATAAACACAATCAATATTTTTTTTTCAACAGACCCTGTGGTTTATAAAATATTGATCTCTACCAAACGGTTGAGATGTCACTTAAAGGTTTAAGTACATGATGTAATAAAAATACCTAGTACAGTAGATAAATTAAAATACAATGCAAATTTATAAAGAAATTAACAACAACAAAATGTCTGGGGCATTGGATACAGTTTATGTTTGTCAAAATGCTACACAACACTGGTTTTAATAAAATACTGTAATAAACTGTGAGTAGCATTGCATTTTGGGAATGATGTTGGATTCAACGGTAAGGAGGCTGTCTTTAAACAGAACGCTACTGTATTTCTGAAGAAGACATGTTGTTGTGACATGTGGAAGCAACCTCTAGAACTTTCTTTACAAAGACTATCCATTTGAACCCTGCATTTTATGAGCCAATCCTAAGGTGAGTTATTTTTGATGATTCATATTTACAAATATTGACATGTTTGGAAGCTCTTTTTCTTTCTTTTGTGTAATTTGACTAGAATTGCTATGATTAGCTGCTAAAGTGAAATTGATGAATGGATATCAACTGGGAATTTGGAGTTTCACAGAGTTGACTTGGCAGAAAACTGTTTAAATGTTATGCTGGTGTCTCTTTATTAACTCTTAACATTCAGAAGTTTGTCTTCACCTAGCACACATTAAACCGACTCCTTAAGCATCATATGCTAATCTGAAATTACTGCATTTTCAGGCGCTTTCTTGATATTAACCTGGACCAAGGCCAGCTGTAGCAAGATCATCTCCAAGAGGACAGGGAAAACTTTTCAAAAGAAGTCGGTCACTGTCATCCCCCATGTTTCAATTCTGCTGAAAAACCTCATGGACTTTGAGTGGAATCTCATAGTGAGAACTTTCTAACCAAGCTATAGATATTGTTGCCCCTCCACGCAAAAACAAACAAACAAAAAACTATACAGGCATGAAGGCAACTTATCCCTGAACAGGAGTGTTCTTGAGATTTTTTTGGTTTAAAGTTCAGCATAATCTTAAGACATCTCTTTTAATTAAGAGCATACATTTTGTTAAGGCTCCCACTTTCTGTTCTTCAGATGTAATTTTGACTGTACAGGCACCATGTTTAACTTATCTTGGCAGTGTTGTCAAATATTGTTTCACTGTTTTATATTTTGAAGTTGGAGCTCTGATTTTGCCCTAAAGGAAATTCAAGTCTAAATGTTTCATTTAAATTTTTATCAAACTAAAATTTGCTATTTTTTCTATGCTTTAGATTGAAGTTAAATGTTTCATTTGTTTTATGTTGCATCATATTGTTCCTCACTTCTACAAAAGTAGTATTTTGTATTGAAAAAGTAGTGTGCTGAGTTGTACAATGCATTATTTCCATAATTTATTTCATACTTATTTTATTTCAGACTAATCAAAAGGCCACAATTCATGCTTTATTCAAAGTCTACTGTAAATCTGATAAAAAAAAACAGCAATGTGCTGTAATCAAAAGATTTCTTTTGTGACAGTAATATACTGTAAAGTTGATTACAGTAAGGGTACTGTATATTTACGGTATAATGCTGGCAACCCTGCTGCCAGCATTATACTGTAAAAATACAGGGCAATTTGTTACAGTGTATGTATAAAGTTAGAGAACAGTTTATCTCCTGGATGGGTTATTACAGAGTCAAATGAAAACAGATTAAATATGCTAATGTTAGCCTAGCGTTCAGCAAACTGCTTTGCACAAGATGCAAATTTATTTCAAACTGTACCTCAGAGTTGGTCCTGAGGGCTGGCGTCCTGCATGTTCTAGTTCTCTCCCTGGTTTAACGCACCTGGATCCAATGATGGCTCCTTAGAAAGCCTATAAGAACACTAACAGCATAACAACATGCTGAAAAGGTTGTTACTACCACCAGGGAGAGAACTAAAACATGCAGGACGCCGGCCCTCGAGAACCAACTCTGCTGTAGTGCGCTGTGAAACAAAAGATAAACTAACCACTTTTTAGCTGTGTTACAAGGACGTCAAAATGTCTTATAAGGGTTGAGCCATGTTTCATCACCGCACTATGACAGGACTCCAGTTGGGATCAAATATTTATTGCTGTGGGAAAAGAAACTAACACTGTAGTTTCCAGAATATCGCTGATGAAAGGGACAATATTTCACCAGTAATACTTACATGCTACTTTATTACCTTTAATACGGTATCACACAAGAAGTTGAGGTCAGGAAATGCTGCGCCAAAAACGACTCTGATTGATATCAGTGACAAAAGGATGTACCTAACAAATGCTGAACTGTGTGTTTTTTTTTGTTTTGTTTTTTTTAAATGATGATTTGTCCTAAAAGCCCTGCAGCACAAGCTGCTGATCATCAGCCAAACATTTGCTTTTTACAGTTCTCTTTCCTGCTCGGCTTCCTATCGCTTGTGTTCCTCGGGGCCTTTAAAGCTAAAATGTATTCCTTTGTCACTCGCTGAAGGGCCAGTGAAATTCCTCTGCATCGAGATAATTGTTCTTTCCAACAGATTCCGTTTAAAAGGACAAAAGCGATGCTATTATTGGACGGGCCAGAGA